GATTGAAAATCAAATTACTATGAGTTTTATCAGAAAAATTCAATAATAATATTTAGTCATGAGTAATGTGTGATACGTAAAATTTCGTGACATTTGATCGTCCTGCTAGAAATACTCAACGACCTCATGACCAAAAAATGACAATTCAAAATGTTTTGAAAGATATTATCATTGTCTGTTCTTTAACAATTTTTAAATAAATAACACAATTTTATTAAATTGAATCCGGTCATAATACCACTTTGAGCCTCCTCCGTTAGATGGCGAATACGTATATATCTGTAAATCTGCAAGTGGTAAAGTTAAAATATTTGTATAAGTAGAAGCACGGTTTGGTTACCTATTTCGCGCTCGTCTAACCACGCGATGTTGAGCATCTTCATCAGGGTCGCGATGAGAAAAATTGCAGCAACTAATACCTCGCGTTCTCCCCCTTCATAGTGCAATGTTGCTTTAGTTAATGGCAGGTCGCGCGGCGACGCGCCAGCTAACAAATGGAAAATTCGCAGTCGAGTTGTTAATATTCACACGATGTACAGTTCCGCTTGAAGAGGCGAATCTCCCCGCGCGTCCAAATAGGTTACTGCACACCGGCGTGTATATAATATACGAAGATGGGTAAGCCTCAAGGTAATTATAAACTCTCTCGCGAGCGGTGGCTATTTTCCGTGTTTATGCACGCAACACGATATACGAAGCTAAAATTATTCCTCCAACACCACACACACACGCACACATACACGCATACGCATGTACGTTCGAATGCGCGAAGCCGGGCTTGCTGCTGCACGTCGCGTCGCAAGAATACTCTCAATCTTGCAGCTTCACTATGCCATTCTCATCTATTTTTGTGTGTAAGCGAAAATTTATCTTGGCCTCTTCTCTTTTGCCCTCTCCATCTCTCTCTCTCTTTCTCTCTTTCGCGTAATTAAGAAATGTGTACCACTGTACACTCTCGCGAAGCTGGCAGAGATTTTAATAAATTTCATTTCTGCTCGTTAAAGTAATATGCAGCTCTTTAAACGCGTAATGAAGAGCGCTCGATGCGAAGCATGAAAAGTATAAAATTACCATCCCTTTGCTGCGCGATTTTATTCCCTCTCTGAAATTAGATGTTAATAAATATTTCGACGCGCGAGCTTCGCCTTTTATTTACGATTACAATTAAATTTAAAAAGTTAAGATCAACTATGTGGTCAGAATCATGTGTCCACGTACGAAATGGTCGATATACGGCGATGACCGAGAGGATGGAGTACAGAGCAGAGTAATGAAGAGGAGGCTGGGCTGTGCAATTGCCAATGGATTTACACAGATTGACTCGTCTCAATGAACGTCGAAACGCATCATCATCATCGTGGGCAAACAGTGTGCAGACTCGAGAGCCGCACGTTAATGCACTCGTCGCGTGTACGCGTACGGTAGCTATACTACACACATAACCGAGGTGCATTGTGAGCTGGTTACATAAGAAGCAGGACAAGATTTGCCGCTGGCTATATTGCATAATTGCCACACATATTGGCAACTGATAATGCTCCGCTTGCTGCCGATCCCTGCTATATATATGCACCAAGGCATATAGACACAGCAGCGGCAGTAGCCGGTTTCCTTCGACCCTGACGTGCAACGGTTTCTGCTATGCTATACTGCGGGGAGCTGCAAAGACGATCCATCGCGAGGCTTGGACTGACCGACTGTATAGCTGCAAGAAAACGGGACGAGCGAGCGATGTATGCAAGTGTCGGATCTTCGTCGGGAGCGAATACGTGGTATACGCATGCGACGAAAAAAATCATACATCACGATCACGGGCCGGGTAGCGCCGTATATTATAAAACAGCTCGGCGATCGTCGTAAGGCCTCGTCATGTTCGCGATCATTATCCCCCGTGAGGCTGCGTAAACTATACATGGGCTAGCACTCACGCAGCTGCATAATATCCTATACTCTCTCGTAATACAGTTTATAAATTCTTTCTTATGGGCGATTTATAATTATCCGAAACTTGCCACCAATTCGGTATAAATAACGACCTTTGAGTTCCATTCATACTTGGAGCTGTGAAACTTGACCATTTTCGACTGTGCTTTTAATTTTAAATTACTCAAAACGACGAGGTTAGTAACGGTATGTAGGCATCAGTCAACTTATCGGCAAATCTCTTGAAAAAAAAGTCGCAAAATTTCTGCAGAATTTCTACAAGACATTTTTACAAAGAATTTTTACCTAATTTTATTCCTCCTCATACCATTACGCCCTGTATTCATATGGGTGCAGAGAAATGTTTCTCTTTTGTGTTTGTGTGTGTCTGTGTGTAATACATAAGAGTACATGGCCAGTCGATCGCTCGCTAATATTACAATTAGTACGCTCAGTCACTATATTAAGAAATTCTTGCCGTAAGAAGTGTTTACAAATAATATCTGCAAAAGTGTACAGTAGGAAATAAGGCACAGTGTTGGCTATTCAAGGCACATAACTTCGAATAATTTCTTAGTAATATCGTGAAAATTCACAGTAATTTACTAAAACCAAGTGAGAGCTGGGAAGCAGAAAGGATTCAGTTAGGTATACAACTTTTTATATATTTTTTTAAACGATCGTTAAAGTGTTAAAGAAGAGCCGTATGATGACTCGTCGGATGTTGACGACGATTGCGATGATCCAGTGACACCTCAAACATCACATAAATTTAGTACATAATCGGAACAAACCCTTCGAATGTGACAAATGTCTCAAATCCTTTTGTGACAAGAGAGACCTTAAACGTCACGCCAATGCAGTACATTTTTGAGCAAACTTTTTGAATGTGAGACTTGTCAAAAATCATTTAAAGAAAAGCATACGCTCAAAATACACATAATGACGGTACATAATTAGAGCGAACCCTTTGAATGTAAGATTTGTCAAAAATCATTTAGAAGTAAAAATCAGCATATAACTCACAGAAATGTATATGGAACTAACCTTAGGAGTATGAGATTGGTCCTGAGTCATTTGGATCTTACGAAGACTTCTGCAATCACATGAGTAAATATAAAAATTTTGTTGCTACTTACTTTTGAATATTTTTTGTGAAGAACATTAAAGTATTCTTAATTTTTATTAATCTTGTCATGCTTATATAAAAAACCTACATATCTTTTTTACATTTACTAAAATATAAATAATATTTCCCAAGTACTTACTCACGTCAATGAAGTATAACTTCATAAGTTTTATCTTTCGAATTGAGTCAAATTAAATTGTATCACATTTTATTTAAAGGGTGTGTATTCATTTGAAAATTCGTCTATGGTCTCTACGTACACTAGCAGTAAGTTGTATCGGTTCCTGCAATAGGATGGTCGAGGAATATGTACAAGTATACCGAATTTCACGTTTCAAAGAACCAAATCAACTTACATTTAGTGTACGTCCGAGTCGTATTTATAAACATGAAATAGTAAAAGTTTTAAAAACACTAAATGATAAAAAGATTAAAAAAATTTTTTCATACCAGCCCCACGTGCCCCACGTGCCTCACGTGCCCTGGGACTTTTCTGTTTTTCGCGGCCTAGGGCAGTAATATACTATAAGACTATGTTATCGTATCGGAAGTATCATTAATTGCTTTTGAAAAGATGTCGAAAGCAATACGCAAATACAAAAAAAACGGCTTCGAATCATTATTAGCTATAAGGCAGCAGGTGGATAAACCTAATGCACAATCATCAATGGCAATGACCAGTACAGAATGTGGATGTTCAAAGTCCAAGTCTACAGTCAACAAGTGAACCGATGTTTTCCGTAAACACATGCACAATAAGCGTAATCGAAAAAGAAAACACAATTTCGTGGATATTATCGCACGGACGTTTTGTCAAAGTCAACGTATTAGACAAGATGTCAATAATCATGACGTATGAAAAAACATCAAGTTTGAAAGTAGCGCTACAAAGGCTACAATGGAAACATGACTTACACCTGGCGAAAGAATAATTTGAATATCTTCAGCAAGATAGAAGCAGTTTTATTTTGTTGAAAAATGATCGATGCCGTTTTACCGAGGTTACGTTATTAATTGAGTTGAAGGCATTATTGCCGTTTACACAAAAAATACGAGTGTAATTTTGCACGTAATTTTTGGCGAAAATTGCCAGAGACGGCGTAATTACTATAAAAGCTACATCTCGTTTAGGTGCCACAGCAAGTTGCATCGGGAGCTTGATCGCATATCATACATCATATATATTATTTGCATTGTGCGTGTATACGTGCGAGTAGGCATGAGACAAGATACATCGGAGGACACGCAGCGGTACACGCGCGCTATATATCGTGTCGTAGCTCTCGCGCATAAGCTGAGAAAGTCGCCGAAGCAAGTGACACAAGAGTCGTATATGCATACAGAGCTATACGGGCGCAGATACGTCATACAAGTTTACTACTATATGTGCTCCGTTCTGCAAGGGAGTTTGCGTTACATGCATGCGTATCGAACGCGCTTGTGTGCATGTGTGTGAGAAGCTCCGCTGATAGTGGGAGCAGCGCGAAAGGAGCGCAAAAGGAGTGCGAGCGCAAAAGTAAAGTAAAGAGGAGAAGCGCCTCATGCTGCTGTATGTATAGCTAGCTATACGAGTTGCGAGAGCTCCCGAGAGTGCGAACTCGTGCGAACTGCAGCAGACTACCGAGGTGGACTATATATAGCAGACTATATAGCAGACGTATAGGGCAGATTATATAGGAAGAGAGCAGTGCGCGAGAAAGAGAGAGAGAGGGAGAGGGTATATCGTAACGAATATCGCGCGAGTATAGCACAGTGTTGGCAGTAGTCGTCGTCGTCGTCGGCGCAAAAGCCGTGCAAAGCAGCGCCAGCGCAGCGCAGGCCAACAGCCGGTGCCGCCGAGCCGAGTATCCGACTGCTATAATACTGTATACGAGTGCGGCGTGTGGTAGTGCGTGGTGGGAAAGGGCGCACAAGACTCCCCTCTGCCTCGCATCGCGAAAGCATCGCCACAGTAGTAGTTGCGCCGCGCACTTTCGACCAAGAGCCAGGGGTTCGCGTGTAGAGCGCAGTTCACTCTGCCGAACCCGCACGAAGCGACACAGCGACCTTCTGTGTTTAGCGCTAAAATTTACACGCGTACACGCACTAGAAAACGCACACAATACATGCACACACACCTACGTATAATATCGATGCACGTACGACATATAAAAAGGACGCGAGTGTACTCCGATACTACTCGTTTCGCCTTGTAGCGGGAGTGTGCTACGTTACGATATCAAGTGTGCTACGAAAGAGAGAGAGAGAGAATAAGTGCTGTGCGGGTACATATAGAAGACCCGAAAACCCCACTGCAGTCCAAGTGACATACGTACACACACTCATAATAATAATAATATAAATATCTAACACCAGGCACACACAGGTGCGCGAGCGCTGCGGAGCACGTGCGCGACGAATCGTGAGCGGCCGCAAGTATACTCTACTGCTACATAGTATATACGTAGTAGCACAGGCCCTGCTCCGCATGTGTCAATTACAATAACAAACAAAACAAGTTAAATAGCAGTGACGATGTTGTGCCAGCAGCGAGCCAAATAATAATAAAGGGCTCGCATCAACACCATACTAACGTTGTGCCGCTTTAATAATACTGTCGAGCGATCGTCATCAGAGTGCGCGCACGATCATGAGCGCTGACGAGTCGCCGTCGCTTACGATCCAACTCGCGGCTACTACCACCAATAGCGAGGCTCTCTGACACGCTCCGCGTCGCGGATGAGCGTCGATCGTTTTGCAGTGCGAGAGGCCCGCAGTGTCGATCAGCTAATTGCCGCGTCTGCCGCTGCTGCTGATTGCGAGTTATATACCTCTTCTTAATGTAAGCGTCGTTTGGCCTCAGGTCTCTGTGTTTGTGTTTCAAAGTTCACAACTATTGCCTGGCCCGGGTGACTTTTATTTCGCCGTGAATAGTTACATTTAGTTTCTGAACCGCCTTCGAGCGAAGCCTCGTGCGGTGGTGCTTTGCTGCTTTTCTCGCTACGGGTTCTTAGAGATAGAGAGAGAGAGAGACGGAGCAGCGAGAGCCACCCGCGCGCGCCGGTCTTGGTGCACCGAGAGAAGCGTCGACGAGTGCAGTGTCTGTGCGCGGATATTATCCATAATATGCAACCGGACTCGATAATGCGCGACGTCGACAACTCCGTGGACAAGCTGCGCGTCGTCAACAACAATTACAACAACAACGTCGACGTCGTGGTGGTCGAGTCACCGGGCGCGATGAACAACGGCGCCGGTGGAAGACACGCCGCTGGCCCCGATCACAACATCAACATGTATCACCAGATGGGCGACGACGGCCTCACGCAGATCGGCCAGGTTTTTCACTCGGCTTACCAGTCGATCGTCGCTGGACAGCCTCAGGTATAACTCAATGATACACCCCCTACCCTACCATCAGGCGACGCGCGTCACAAGCTCGCTACGTATTACTGGCCACGGACCCACACGCTTATCCTCGCATACTTGCGAATCGAGCCCGATGTATACCAGAGAAAGAGAGAGAGAGCACCGTGTGCTGCGTCGCTCTGCGTATTCTCTCCCTTTTAGGCCAAGACTAAAATTAGCTTCGGGCTATGCAGGCGTGCGCAACTTATGTAGGTACACGCGCGAGTACGTAGCAACTTTAATGCACTGAAATGAGAACCACCTGCCTGCCTCTCTCGTGCTGCATTTATACGTGCACCGCGGATCGGAGAGCATCTCGCGTATCGTTCCTTTAGCTGCACACATTTCCCAAGAGTTTGTGCAGTCGGAATTTTTGCGCAGATTCGAAAACAAGAGGTCGCGATTGCGCTTCTCTTTTTCTTCTTATTCTTCTGTTTCTGTTGCTGCTGCTGCTTACTTCTTAACGTGGCCCCGCGCAGATCGTGTGTATACGTTCACGACTTTGCGCCAAAGCAGCAGCAGCGATCCGACTTTTCAATTTCAGATAAGGCCACACTCACAAAATCGAGTCGGAAAGAAAGAGAGAGAGAAAGAGAAGACGCGCTCAAGCGAAAAGTCTAGATATACAAATTAATTGTCGCCCGGTCTTGCCTGCCACGCTGCTATATACACACGCACTAACACCGCGATAGCTGTTTGATGAGAATTAATTCCTCGATAAGAATGATCAAATAATGAGCAATGCGCGCGGCCTGGCTCGCTCGCTCAAACTCACTGCTTTGACTTTCGAAGCAAAGAGTCAATTGTTGTATACGCCTTGAGTTTTTTTCCCCGTTTCGTCAATTTTATTTTTTCTCTTTGACGTGTAATCAAACCGAATTTGTCGCTAATTTCGCTCACATACATATATCGCGGACTCAACGGAGCCTTTTGGGAGACGCTTTCCGCGCGCCACAACGTGCTTTTTTGCTATTGTATACAGCAGCAGTCGCGTTGACGTTTACGCGCTCGTGTATACATGTCGCCGCCTAGCTCAGCGATGAGCTATAATAATTCTCCTTGAGGCACACTGTCGCGTGAGTCCACAAACAGATGCACGATCGAGAAGGAAAACACATTGGCTCGCACTCATGATATACACATCGCGCACAGAGAGGCCACTTATAATTTATTTGGGATGACTCGAGCGCGCGAGTCTAGCAAATAATTGCGGGCGACTGTAACGCCGTCGTTCGTCTCTCGCGCCTATATACTGCTGCATTGTCACCACAAGCTTTGACATAATAACATCGAAGAAAAAACGTTTTTCGTGCCTTGCATTCGTTTCGTGTACATACTTTGCTGCAGGCGTGTGCCGCGTTGCGCTTACGTAAAGGTCGTCGTTATAGGTGTCAACTTACCGATGCTTCAAGAAGCATAAAAAGCTGTAAAAAAAGCTCATTTTAAATTGATAATTTTTTAAACAAAAATCCATCCCTTTCTAATAGTTTTCGAATGCTATACATTTTTTAAATGTCATTTCAATGATTTTGATCTAATCCTCTCGAACTTGATCATAATTTTCATTGATTAAAGATTGTTGGGCAATCTTCCCTCGGTAAACTTGTAATGTTATGTAACAACATCGTATATCTATGGAGATAACTTGTATTGATGTACATGCATGCGCTATCGTGAATAATTACAGTGAATAATATCGTGATCAGATTAAAGATGACAGTGTTTAAATAATTAAAATTCCATCCGCAATTGATTTCCTTATTCCAAATTATTTTCGAATGATAGTAACATGACGAGATGTGTCATCAGTCATCCCTGTGTAAAAATGAAAATTTCCAATCTCTTCATTCAAAACTTCGTAAATAATTAGAAAACAACAAAACGATATACTAGAAATGCTTGGCACGTACGCACGAAATGTTTGATGTTTTAAAAATAAAGCATGATCTAAGCCGAAGAAACGTTTACCCTTACTAAGTAAAAACTGAGCTTCGACCATAATTATTATTAAAGGTTTTTAAAAGTATTAAAAGTAAATTTCGTAGCTCTGAGCTGAGTAAATTATTTAATGCAGAGCACACACACGCGCGCGCGCGTGCACAAAGATAGTTTATTTAAATCTGCGGAGCAGTAACTCATCATCTTGGTATTGTTTCGTTAAATGGAATTTCTATCTGATTTAAATGCAACTAAGCTAGAAATAATACGATTATGCGTTAGCTTATTCTGTTTGTTAATCTGCTTTGCACACCATTGTTAGTCGCGCGCGCGCGGAGCACTATAAGGGAAGGAGAGAGACAGAGCGAGAGAGAGAGAGAGAGCAGGATTCGTTATACATCGATTTTCTCTCTTTCTCTCTCTCTGCCGCTCCGTTGCCAGGATCGTAGCGCTATACCCGCTCCCCGGTTTCATCGTGAATTCACGACCCTTTCACTTCTCCAACACGGGGAATGTACATTTCGACCCACTTCGTCGCCAGATCTTTTCCGCACCGCTGAAGCACTGATACTAATTCAAATTTGAGATTCGAGCAAACTCGTAATGCGACAACAAAGCTCTCGTTCAAATATTTTGGCAGATTTTTTTTTTCTCGCTGGCAATGATTCGTGTGACAGATTTTATAAAGCTGCACGCAACTTGAAAATCGTAAGCTTGCAGAAAATATCGACTCGAATTATTATCTTTCGTGCGTTTTTAATGCCAACTAGGATCTGTTGTTGGAACTTGAATTTCTTCTTTTGCGTCTGCTCGTACGCTGAATAAATATTTCGTTCGCGTGTACGTAAATATCTATATTTATTTATGTTTATTTGATATATAGATGCAAGGAGCTTCGAAAAGCAAAAATAAACAATGCGGTCCCTTTCGCTAGCGGAATTATTGCCCGAGCAAATAAGCTCGCGCTACGGGCCGCGGAAAAGAGAAAAGAAGAAGAGAGAGAGAGAGAGATGATGAATAAGAGGAAGGAGGAGAGACGAAGAAGAAAAGGAAAAGGAAACAAAACAAAGAGATCGCGTGTATATGCTTATGAGCTTGTACGAAGGGGGAAAAAAGGGGAAAGAAGAAGAAGCACAAGAGTCTTGTGTGTTGGCAAGTACCGCTACGTCTTACTGATCGTAGTAAGAAATCGTGAACTTGGCGCTGTGCTTGCTGGCTACAGTGCTACGCTAGTTATCGTGTGTAAGGCTTTTTAGCGGCGAGTTTGTACGACTTGTCCACGTGTGCTGTTCGCTCGATGACCTCTCCGCATGCATTAAAAAGCTCAAATCTAGCCAGAGGATAGCTTTTGTGATCTTTTCGAGCTTTAATTTTGGGGATGGCCAAGTGCTTGACCTTCGCTAATTCATCTTTGCTCCTTTCAAGCAAACGTCGAAAAGAAATGAAATGTTTTACTTTTCAATCTTCGAGTTCACCGAGACGAATCATTCAGCGAAGAAAAAATGCAATGACCCGCGCAAGTGCGAGAAGAACAAAAAATGGACAGTTATAATCGTCGAGCGCGTATAATGAGCAATTTGTGCATAATTACCCGCGGCGCACTGGTATATTCATCGTCATTTCTTTTTATCGGGTTGTTTTTTCTCGAATATGTTAAACAGTTGGATCCATTGCAGGTACCGAGCAAGTGCTGCAGCGTAAAAAAAGCAAAATATTTCAGTACGGAGAGCTGCGTTCCACGCGAGATAATTTACTTTACAGGAATGAATTTTTTTTTATTATTCTCGTGTACTTAGCGATAAAGATAAACATTCGATCGAGATAAGCTGGGCATGGTAATACAATCTCAAGTTTTTTTTTGAGAGCTCTGCGCGCGGCGTATCGGGCAGGTAGAAGTGTGCAAGTTGGAATCAAGAATGAAGTGTGACACTTGACGATAACAGCTCGTAATATATTACGCACCTCGAGCTCGCGCATGTAATTATACTGTTTTCGTGCACGACGAGGAGACCAATACAACATGAAATTCTCTCTTATTAAACTGCGGCGTCGTGGTCGCGCGCAGCAGCAGCAGCAGCGGCACACGAATTCCATACACGTTCGAGGCACGCGTGCACTGCGTAAATCCAATTGGATAAGAGACTCGTTGAGGGGCAACGATAAGAGAAAGTATATTATAAATATGTCGTATGAAACCAAGAATCGCGAGCAGTATAATATGATGTATACTACATGTAGCGGAGGCTGGTTATTGCACGCTGCTGCTGTCAAATTGGCCCGACCCGATCTCAGGCGTGCGTGCGCGATAATAGCCGAACCGCGACCGAACCCCGCTAGCCATGGAGTTGACTTATTTTACAAATAAAACTGTTTTGCACAGCGGGGATTTAGGGGTCTGTGCATACCTTACACAGCTTCTAAAATCTTGAAAAATAATAAACAATCGCAGCAATGATTGATGATTATGTATAAAAAATTACATTGAGCATAATTACACGATAAGGCGCAACATATTTTCTAATGTGTAAATGTCATCTCGCAGTAATTAGTTTTTGATTATTACAATACTCAAATCAGAAGGAATTTATTTTCCTTCTTTCACTTGTTTACCAATCAGGCGATTTTTTCAGCTATTCTGAAATGCAGTATGCGAATCATTTTCTTTTCAAGTCAGACAGCGGAGTTTTCTAGGCGTATTTGGCACCAAATTCTATTAAATCATGCAAGGGAAAACCATCTGTTTTAGGTGGCCAAAAGTAGTTTTACACCTCGTCGTCCATGAGAGTACACGTTTATATACACGATCGGACTGACACTGACTCGACGATAAAACGAATACGCGTTACATATATAGAAAGACGAGGGTAGACGCAACAACACCGGCTTATAAGATAGTGCGCGCGGACCAAACACGTATTCACGCATGCAGGGTATAACATTGGCTACGGCCGAGCGAGCGCACAAGAAAATCGACAGCTGTCGGCCATTATTTGATGAATAGCACTTGTGTGTATGTGGTGTGTGTAGCCGAGGCTAAG